TCCAGGTCTGCCCAGAGATACCCACTTCTCCATACTAGTCCATGGTCCCCAAAGTTCCACAGTCTTCCAAGACATCATCAAACACAGAAGCCTATGGGGACATATTTAACATTTAAAGCATGATAATGGGAATAGGCTTGTCTTTCTTTCTCCCTTCCTCCCTTTACAACTCTTATTCCACAGCTGAGAGGCATTTACTTCCCAAAGATGCCCTCCTCCAAGCCCCTCCCCCGCCACCTGGCCCATCCCTGGCTTTGATTTACCTCCTTGCCAAAACAGTACACTGGCAGCTACTCCTGCAGCCTTTGAATTCATTCTGGTATTTTCACAACTCTCCCACAACTACAGACTAGGCCTTGAAAATGTCATTTCCCTTGGACCCATGTGTGTAGATTTTGAGAGAACAATCAAGGTCCAGTTCAAGGGCAAAGGAGTCAGCTTAAGAACTCTGGGTGTCCCCTTGCTGGGCTACACTTCTCTGCTGATCACTTGCCTGATGAAGGGACCTTAGTAACCCAGGAGCAGCTCTGCCTCCATGATGATCTTCTTCAGACTACACTTCTTCACACAGGGCAGGCAGGGTACATGCATCCGGGCTTCTGAGCTTCCTTAGACATAAAGCCACACACACAGAAGAGCCCACATGTAGTTGAACACTGCTATCACCAGCCTTAGTAACTTCAATGAGAGGCCGTGTTGTTGTTTTACACTAGATACTGAGAATTATAGAGCCAGTGTTGGTAAAGGTGTCTGTGCTGCAGCATGCCTGCTTGTTTATGTTGAGACATAGTGTCTGCGGAGAAGCACTGAGGCCCACCTTCCCAGGACATAAGAGACATTTCTCAAGCCTCTTTATGTCTCAAGTAGGACAACTGAGACCAAAAAGGCAAAGTCACTTGTGCAAGCCAACAATAACCCTCACACCTCCATGTTGCCTGTGGATGGAGGCAAAGAACACATCATCCCTTTGCTCCATCTCCCTCCCTGAGGTATTTATTGGCCAATAAACTCCCTAGTCTAGTCAGTGTTCTATACATATCCTCGATAACTATTTTAAAAAGCTAAAAGGGATGGGATGGAGTGTTGGCTAGTGGTTAAGATCAGGTTTCGATTCCCAGGACCCATATAGAGCCTCATCATCTCCTTGGGCACCAGAGAAGCATGTAGTCCTCAGAAATGCAGATAGACACACAGGCAAAACCCTCATACACAGAAAACAATAAAAATAAAACAATAAAAAGTTAAAAGGGATCGTGTTCACTTGTCAGACACCTCCACAAAGCTCTGTAGACTCAGGTGTGACTCGGGTTGTTGCGTATTTTCAAGCCCCAACTTGAATTCACTGACTCACGTGTGAGTGGTGCCACATTGGTGTGTTTTACAGTGACCGGGCCTACAGTGGTTCCCATTGTCTGAGGGTAAGTTATAATTACAAAGAGCATAGCTGGCCTTCCCTGCAGGCCAAGCATCCATCACCAATGTGATATAATTTAGGAGGCAGCCTGGGAAGCGTCTGCTGCATGAGACAGAGAATTCACGTTGATTGGAATTGGCGGACCTGTGTCTGGGTGCCCGCTCAGCACTAATTAGCTTAGTCTCGGCGGAAGGCACTGAATCCATTTTACCTTGGCTCTGTCATCTGGAAAAGAGAAGTAATACTATATACTAATAATATACATATATACTAGGGGCATTGTAACAGTGACTATGTCAAATCAACAGTGGGAATATCCTTTTCACCTAAAATACCCTGGTTTTAACTTCCCGGATACCCCAGGTTGTGTCCTTAGCTCCACACAGGATGAAGTGTCTTGGGGTTCTGGTTCAGAATCACATCACTAAGGGAGCTGGCTGATCCCTGATACCAGCACCAGTTAAGAGTCACTACTCTAACAGCAAGCTTGGGCCCAGAAGTGGACGCAACCCTCCTGCCTCCAGCACGGAGATCACTAAGTTGAATGAATGGAACACTGTTCTGGACGCAGAGGTAGGAGGTGGAGGCACGCCCACGTGAGCCCACCTGAGCCCACATGAACCGGGGTCCCCAGGTGGGAGGCTGTACCCAGGTGTCAGAGCAGAAGACGAAGAACACATACTTAGACACAGTGCTTTCCTGCATCCCCTCACATGCTTTAAACCAACAGTTCTCCACCTCTGGGTCGAGACCACTTAGGGTGTTGAACAACCCTTTCACGGATATCACCTAAACCCGTCGGAAAGCACAGATATTTACACTGCGATCCATGACAGTAGCAAAAGTACAGTCGTGAAGTAACATCAGCAATATTTGTTTGCTTGGGGGTCACCATAACATAAGGAAGTGTATTAAAGGGTCACAGCATAGGAAGGTTGAGAACCACTGCTTTAAACTATGTACCTTTAATCCTATGTACCCAAGAGTCTGAGGCAGAAAAGTCACAGGTTCAAGGCCATCCTGGGCAACTTAGAAACATCCTGTTTCAAAATAAAAAGTAAAGGAAGGGACTGGAGATATGGTTTAGTGATAAAGTACTTACCTAGCATGAAAGAGGCCCTGGACTCCATCCCCACTACTGAAAACAAGAATAAAAACAAAAACTGTACTTGGTTCAGGTGTAAAGATATATAGCAGGAGGAATAAGTTTTTTAAGGACATATATAGATATAGATATGAATATATGTCACTAGACAAATCAGGAGACAAGAAACACATTTTTTTGGTTTTGGTTCAAACATGAGAAATATATTTTCTTTTTAAAATTATTTTTTGGGTGTGTTTTGCTTCCATGTATCTCTTTGCATAATGTGAAACTGTGTGCATGCCTAGTTCCCAAGGAGACCAGAAGAGGTGTCAGGTTCCTTGGAACTGGAGCTACAGGTATTTATAAGCATCCATGTAGATGCTGGGAATTGAACCTGGGTCCTGTAGAAGAACAGCCAGTGCTCTTAACCATGGAATCATCTCTCCAGCCCTGGTAAATACATTTTCAAAAAAGAAGTGGAAAGCCAAGCATGGCGCCACACACCTGTAACTCCAAGACTAGACAAGATGAGGCCGGTAGAGAGTTCAAGGTCATCATGACCTTATACAGTCAATTCCAGGCCAGCCTGGGCTATATGAAGTCTTGTCTCAACAAAACAAAACAGAGCAACCAAAATACAGAGAAGAAAATGGAAAGCGGAATTCTAAATTCTGAGAAAGCTCATTTCTATATATATGTGTGATTTGTAAGGTTTTATTATTTTTTATTAATTAATTAATTTTTCTCCAGCCTGATCACAGTTTCCCCTCCCTTTTATTCTTCAGCATGCATTAATTGTACAAAGTAACAAGGGGACTTCTGGCTTCACAGCACATCCACATTCAAAGATCTCAGTTGCCATGCCAACCCCAAATGGCTGGACCTATGTGTTGAGTGCTGTATTTTAGGGTGAATGTTGTTGCTTATAAAATGATGGTAGCACTACTGGGGGTGAGCTCAGTGGGGGAGCCTGCCCATCAATACAAGGCCTTGTAGTAGATCCCTCCTAACACAATCACACACAATTTCTCGCACACACGCACGTGCGTGCACACAGACACTAAAACAAAAGCTATTTATTTAAAACTTCAAAAGTATTGAAGAAAATAATATGTTTTAAAACTGTTACTGACTACTCTGCGTCTGGATGGTGGCAGCGGTCGTATGATCTTGTGAGTTTACTAAATGTTGCTATATAAACGGTGACATTTGGACTGTGTGTGTTTCGCTACAACCAAAAGCTTGATTGGGCCAGCGAGACCGTTAGTGAGTGAACAAGCCTGCCAAGCTGAGGTCCATTCCCGGGACAGCATGGAAGGAGAGGCCTGATTCCCAAAGTTGTATTCTGATCTCCACATGGTACCATGGAGCACATACACATTCGTGTATGTGCATGCACATAAACAAACAAATGAAAGTAATTTTAAAAAAGTGATAATATAGGCTATTTAAGGGGCCATGACCATAGTTTTCTTTGATCCATGAGATACTACTTCAAGGTTTTTCTTTAAATGTATCCTTTTGTGTTGTGCTGTGTGGCCCTGTTTAAGTGTGTGTGACTGAGTATGTGAGTACTTGTGTGTGTGCACAGGTGTGTGGATGCTAGAGACAGAAGCCCACACGTAGTGTCTTCTTCACTTGCACTCAATTTTATTTTGGAAGACAGGTTTCTCACTCACCCTGGAACTCGAAGGTTCAGCTAGACTGGCTGGCTCGAAAACTCCCAGGAGCCTCCTGTCTCTGCTCCCCAGTGCTGAGGTTGCAGGCGCGCCCACAGGTGCTGGGAGAATACACTCAGGTCCTCGTGCTTATTTGTAAAGCAATAACTTTAAGGAGTGAACCTTTTCAGCAACCTTGAAGGTATTCATGATACACATTTCTAGATGCTTTTTTAAAAATTGCAAGGTTTCTTTTCAATCCTCTACTCCCCCCACCCACCCCAAAACATTTAAGATGTTCCCGAGTGTCTTTGTTTTTAACTCAGAGCCCAGAAAGAAAAATCTAACTGCGTCAAATGTTTTCAGGACATAGGAAAAACTATTCTCTAAAATTGCTCTTTATTTTTCACAATATTTTGGGTTCAGCTGCAGTAATGGGGCCTAGTCAAACAGGTGGCCAGACTGTGCAGTACCATGCGGTCATAGGCAATACCCTTTTTCTCCAGCTGAGTCAATTAAATGTGTTTATGTTAGCATACATTACCCATGTACAACAATGGCTTTCATTATGGGATTTTTCACACATGCACCCATAATATGTAATTTATTTTGATCATAAGTTGCCATAAATATTTTTGCTAACATATAATAATTATATAAAACAATAGAGTACGTGCTGAGGTGTTCACAGATGTAGCTAGCTAACGTACCTTGATCATATAGTTGTTGTTTTTTTTTTTTAAAAAAAAGACACACTCAAATTCTTGAAACATGTTCACTGCGTAGAAAAACATTTCCAGAACTTTTCTGAAGGCAGTTTTGAAAGACTTCTTGGCTACTTGCTTTTACAAAAAGTTCCTAACTACTTTCCTTTAGAAGCCCTGTTGTTGTTGTTGTTTGTGTGTTTGCTTTGACGTGGTGGTTTTTGCTGGTCATGGAGAGAGGCTAGGCATACCAAACTTCATTAGACACCTGTAGAAACAGTGAGTATGTGAGAATTCTGTAATATGTGTGGCTCACCTGGGGGCCTACCTCTCTGTGGCCACAGGCATCTCTTATAATTGTTTGGTTTTCATAACCTGCCTTTTTACAGACTCATAGAGACTTTTCCCTTTACCTGCTCCATGCAGCACAAGTGGTGAGAGCCAAGAGCAGCAGGGTCCCGGCATGCTCAGAGGACAGAAAAAACTGTAGCCTTCTAGGCACCAAGGGCTCCTAGTCACTGAAATCAGGAAGAGGAAGGACCATGGCAATTACTGTGGTCATGTCAAGTGACAAATCTTCCAAGAACATTCTCAAGTCAGGATAGCACAGGCTTTTGGTCAGCCCATCTGTCTCGACGTGGAGAGTCCTCAGTCAATCTGTGTCTGACATGGGAAATGGAACCAGGATTTTAAGTAAGATAGTGGATATTTGTAGAATCATCCCTGTTCTTGGTTGTGCCAAATTCAGCCCAACTTCTGTTTCTAACCCGGCTCAGCAGCACAAGCATGCCATCCGCCAGCAGAGAATGTTTGCAGATGTCTGCGGGAAAATAGAGACAGGGCAGGGTACTGGGAACACCTGTGATGGGCTTCCCATGGTTAGTGGCTGTTAGCTGGGAGCGTGAGTTAGCTGTTGTGTCGGGTGTACAGGGGCTCCTTTCTGCCTAGGCCGTGGAATAATGGTGCTGCTCTTCTTCCAGCCTGCTCAGGCACCACCAACACGTCCCGGGCCTGCAGAGCCCCGTGTGGTCCCTTCTACTATCAAACCAACACCACCCTGTCTCCTTCCCTCTCACTGACATGGGTCCCTTCCTCTTTTCTTTCTGCCCCTAAGCAAAGCCCGAGAGGCCCTAAATACTCACGCTTCCTACCAGCTAAATGTTTGACCTTGGAAGCCAATAACAGGGCAGGGATGGGGGACATAGTGCCCCCAGTATGACTGCTGGGTAGATAGGGGGACTGGGTGCCATCTCCAAGGATAGAAGGGAAGCTGGCCATAGAGGCCCGTGGTAAATGTGGTCATCTTCCCAGAAGAGGGCCCAAGTTGAAATAAATCACTGTGTCATTCAGACAGGGCAAAGTTCATGTACCTTGGAATCACAATTCATTTTGTGTGTCACCCCTACCAGTGACAAGACTATATGACTTCCTCAACTTCCCAGACCAAATGTTCTAATCTCTATACATGGGGAACCACAATAGTATAAATACTCTTTACACCACTGCAGACATAAAAATGCTTAAGATTGTTTTTGTCACTAAAGAAGGTGAGTTAGTAACAGGTGCTACCCCAGGTGTGGTTGTGACACATGCAATACCTGGTGCATGCATTGTCCACAGCAAATGCCGAGGCTTACTTCCGTTCTGGTTCTTTCTCCAGGGCTCTCCGCTGGCCTGGGGTAGGCTGGTCTTTCAGAACTGTCTTGCTGGGTCTGTGCTTCAGTCAGTGTTCTGGACTGTGGCCCTGGAAGGAAGAGGCGCCTTGTTCCTATAGGATGGTGTATATCCCAGCCGAAGACCTGAGCCGGGTGGGAAAGATCAGGGAGAAGGTTTGGTCAAAAGAAGCAAAGCAGTTGTCCACTAAGCTAACCCTGGGGTTGTTACCATATCTCCCTAGAACTTAATTCTCTCCCTTGGAGCAAGATAAGGCTGGCCCAGATTATACCCAAGGTCTCTATCATATCTAAATTTCTATGACTTCACAGACAAAATGAGGAGAGCCTGGTTATCAAAGCGAGACCGTTGAAGCAGCACTTTCTGGGTCTCACTGTTTGCATCTATAAAACAGGATGGGGCAGCTCACTCAACCCAAGGAGGTTATTCTGGCTACCCGGCCCTGGAAGGAACTATCAAAATATCTTGCCAATTACATGACATTGTTCAGAAGGGAGCAACTGTGCTGAATTCGCAGACCTAAATATAACGCCAATGATGCCACAGGAAGGCCAAGCTGGAGGAGGAGGACATGGGGAAGTTGAGGCCAGACAAAGGGTATGGAGGAAGGAGGCTAGCCATCTGAGGGGAAAGAAGCTAGACATCAAGGGGAGAAAGAGGAAAGAGGCCTTTAGAGGATGTCTGTGGCAAATAACAGAACAATCAGTAGCATCTGCTTCAGAATGCTGGGTCAGGAGCCGGTGATGTCATGTTTAAGACAAGTTGTCCAAGAGGAAGATGTGTAGGACTTAGAGCAGGCTTGGCTTCTTTCTGTTTCTTTAGTCTAATTTTTCAGAGACCAGAAGAGTTGGGCAAGCGTGAAGAGGGGAGGGATTCATGTCCTGCCTTCTAGAGGACAGTTTTTGTCTTCAGTTTAACTCGGGAGCTCAAGCGTGGCTGGCTCCTTGAACTGTGGAATAAATAAGGCACAAATAGCAAATCATGACATCACACTTTAAGGAGTAGTCTGGAAAAATAAGTAAATCAAGGTAAAAAAAAATTGAACTAAATACAAAATAGAACATGAAGAACTAAATATTGGAAATTTAAATTTAAATGTGGGGCTGGGAAATGACTCGTCAGGTAAAACACGTGTGTGCAAGGGTAAAGACCAGAGTTCAAATCTCCAGAAACCATGTAAATTGCCTGTGGGCATTGAGACTCACCTGAGGTTCCAGACTTGGAGCAGCAACAGTATCCCCAGAGCAAACTAACTAGCCAAAGCAGCCATATGGATGAGCACTGCATATGAGGGACTCTCCTCAGTGAGCCGAGTGGAAGAGAGATGGAGGACGACTCCTTCCACATGCACCAGCGCACATGTGCACATGAATCACACACATGCATCCCAGGGGAGGGGGGGAGAGAAAAAGAAATTTTAAATGAAGACAGGACAGTGTTATTGTTAATTTTTTTTTTTGTCTCAACCTCCAAGATGGCACACTAAGAACAGCTTTATGCCGGAGGTATTTATGTATTTATGTATTTATTTATGTATGTATTTATTTATTTATTTTTGCCGCGACAGAACTAAACCCCATGGTCTTGTGTTTCCTATGCTCTACCACGGAGCTGCCTCCCCAGTCTTTGCTTTTCTGAGACATCGTCTCACTCTATGTCCCAGACCGACCCAGAACTGTGGTCCTCCTGCCTCGGTCTCCCTGGGGTTGGGGTTAGTAACTGCAATGCCACGCTAGGTGGGCAGCAATGTCCGCTATGAAAGCTGTCAGCCTGAATTTCCAGAGGGGAAGCTCACGCCATTCCTGCGTCTTCAGTTTGTTCACCATTCCGGAAGCAGACTCAGCAGAGATGGTCTCACTGAGCTCCCGGCCACTAGTGTCCCCCACCCACACAGTCTCCATTCTCCCCACTCAATCTCTGCACACCCCAGGACCCGACCCTGAGTACTTCCGGCTGTCTGGGACTACTAAGGCGTTGGCACCCGCCCTTCCCTTAGCTGGCAGGCCTCACTTTTGACAGCAAGCCTCTCACAGTAGCCTTATCCCTTGCCACGCCGAGCTTCCCACCAAGCCCCAAAGGTCCCAGATGATCCTACTTCTGAGCCTTTGTACTTCCTGTTCCTCTCCCACGCCTGGCATTTCCCGGTCTGTACACGTGACGGGCGATGTTGACACAGAGAACTCAGAAGCTTCAAGCCCGAAGATCCAAGGACACCAGATTTCAAGCTCCATTTTCCTCCTTTCCTATGGTTTCCTGGAGATTTAGTTTTTTTCTAAATTAAATACAGACTACAATTTAATTAAGAAGGTAAAAAAGTGGGCTGCGGTTATAGCTCCATTAGCCAAGCACACACCTGGCATGAGTGAGGCCCTGAGTTCAATCCCTGGCACTGAAAAATGGGAAGTCCTCTTTAAGGAATCTGGAGTCAAAAGTATTAAACCATGGAAACTCTCCAAAGGGGTTGGAGGGGGCTGTTTCAAAACATAGAAACCAAGGTCAGAAACATGGTTCAGCAGGTAAATTTACTTGCTATCAAGCCTGTTCCTGGGACCCAAAAGGTGGAAGGAAAGAACAGACACATCAAAAATCAAATAGACCTATGGATGGTCGTTAAAATAATTCTAATTTAAAATAGAAGTTTAAAATAGAAGCAGTTTTAAAGATACATTTGTAGTAAGAAGCAGTAAAGAGATTGAGTGTATTCTTTAGACACACAAAAAAAAAAAAGAGAAAGAGACAGAGACAGAGAGAGACAAAGAGACAGAGAGAGACAGAGAAAAAGAGAGAGACAGAGAAAGAGAGTGGGGGCAATGAGGATAACAGAGAAAATATTATTCCAAATTAATCTTAGAAACAAGTGGCTGGAGACACCACACCACCCATTTGTATGAGCAGAGAAGTCCTCGAGGTGCCTGAGATGACAGGCTTCTACAGGAGATCGGGGTGCGCTCCAACAGTGATCAGCCAAGGTGAAAATGTTGAGCTAGGTTTGGTGGAGACCAGGGAACTACTGCAAACCCATGAGAAAGGGAATAGCAAGTTGAAGTTTGAGACTCAGAAACAGGAGCACTGAAGGCTGTCACAGCACAGAGTGGAGGGCCTCCCAGGCTGGTACAGCCTTTTCCAGGTAGGAAGCGGGAGCGGCAGGCTTGGACCTAGATCAGCTCAGGAGGCAAGGCTAAACTTACAGCTCCTGAAGCATGAAATACAAGAACTGGATCCAAGGCTGAGACTGATGAAAGGGGAGAATATACTGGCTATTCGCAGGGTTTGCTTTCCTTTGAGACTCTGCTAATCCAAGACCAGCCCACAAAGGGATTTTCTCTGATCTGGTTGCTTTGCATTTGGTCTTTTCTGGGAAGAGAAGTTGGGGAAATGCCTAGATGCTATGTCCCCTTTTCACAGCCCAGTGAGTGCAGAGGGAGCTGAAAGAAAAACCAAGATACTTCACACATTATACACACATACACACAAACACGCACAAACACACATATACATAAACACGCACTAATACATACACACACAAAAATGCACAACAAACACATACAAACATAGGCACAAACACGCACACGCAAACACACACATACATACCTTTAAGTTATTTTGACTAGGCTTTTGAAAATATGTTGTGGCAGGTACAACCATTTTCGAACCATTTAATAAAACACAACGGGGCATGAATCTTGTCAAATGAGAGCTTTCTTGGACACCTGCTTAGTGGCTGGTCACACCACAGTATGGCTGCTTTCCCCAAGACCTCTCACCTTGGTGCTTCATAAACCATCCTTCCAGAATTTGTCCCACCCTTGAATACCTAAGGATGTTCTGAAGATCAGCTGTGGGGCCCTCCCTGGTGTGTTCTCACAGACCAGATCCCCAGGGCTCGGGGGATTGGGGTACACAAAACTCTCCCACCCTGATAATGCTGTCTGAGGGTCTCAGCCTCAGACACACACTGGAAACACTTGAGGGCTCATGACTCTGGGTTCCGTAGTCTGGAGTGAGGCCTAGGAAAAGCAAAGCAAANGATAACCCTCACACCTCCATGTTGCCTGTGGATGGAGGCAAAGAACACATCATCCCTTTGCTCCATCTCCCTCCCTGAGGTATTTATTGGCCAATAAACTCCCTAGTCTAGTCAGTGTTCTATACATATCCTCGATAACTATTTTAAAAAGCTAAAAGGGATGGGATGGAGTGTTGGCTAGTGGTTAAGATCAGGTTTCGATTCCCAGGACCCATATAGAGCCTCATCATCTCCTTGGGCACCAGAGAAGCATGTAGTCCTCAGAAATGCAGATAGACACACAGGCAAAACCCTCATACACAGAAAACAATAAAAATAAAAATAAAACAATAAAAAGTTAAAAGGGATCGTGTTCACTTGTCAGACACCTCCACAAAGCTCTGTAGACTCAGGTGTGACTCGGGTTGTTGCGTATTTTCAAGCCCCAACTTGAATTCACTGACTCACGTGTGAGTGGTGCCACATTGGTGTGTTTTACAGTGACCGGGCCTACAGTGGTTCCCATTGTCTGAGGGTAAGTTATAATTACAAAGAGCATAGCTGGCCTTCCCTGCAGGCCAAGCATCCATCACCAATGTGATATAATTTAGGAGGCAGCCTGGGAAGCGTCTGCTGCATGAGACAGAGAATTCACGTTGATTGGAATTGGCGGACCTGTGTCTGGGTGCCCGCTCAGCACTAATTAGCTTAGTCTCGGCGGAAGGCACTGAATCCATTTTACCTTGGCTCTGTCATCTGGAAAAGAGAAGTAATACTATATACTAATAATATACATATATACTAGGGGCATTGTAACAGTGACTATGTCAAATCAACAGTGGGAATATCCTTTTCACCTAAAATACCCTGGTTTTAACTTCCCGGATACCCCAGGTTGTGTCCTTAGCTCCACACAGGATGAAGTGTCTTGGGGTTCTGGTTCAGAATCACATCACTAAGGGAGCTGGCTGATCCCTGATACCAGCACCAGTTAAGAGTCACTACTCTAACAGCAAGCTTGGGCCCAGAAGTGGACGCAACCCTCCTGCCTCCAGCACGGAGATCACTAAGTTGAATGAATGGAACACTGTTCTGGACGCAGAGGTAGGAGGTGGAGGCACGCCCACGTGAGCCCACCTGAGCCCACATGAACCGGGGTCCCCAGGTGGGAGGCTGTACCCAGGTGTCAGAGCAGAAGACGAAGAACACATACTTAGACACAGTGCTTTCCTGCATCCCCTCACATGCTTTAAACCAACAGTTCTCCACCTCTGGGTCGAGACCACTTAGGGTGTTGAACAACCCTTTCACGGATATCACCTAAACCCGTCGGAAAGCACAGATATTTACACTGCGATCCATGACAGTAGCAAAAGTACAGTCGTGAAGTAACATCAGCAATATTTGTTTGCTTGGGGGTCACCATAACATAAGGAAGTGTATTAAAGGGTCACAGCATAGGAAGGTTGAGAACCACTGCTTTAAACTATGTACCTTTAATCCTATGTACCCAAGAGTCTGAGGCAGAAAAGTCACAGGTTCAAGGCCATCCTGGGCAACTTAGAAACATCCTGTTTCAAAATAAAAAGTAAAGGAAGGGACTGGAGATATGGTTTAGTGATAAAGTACTTACCTAGCATGAAAGAGGCCCTGGACTCCATCCCCACTACTGAAAACAAGAATAAAAACAAAAACTGTACTTGGTTCAGGTGTAAAGATATATAGCAGGAGGAATAAGTTTTTTAAGGACATATATAGATATAGATATGAATATATGTCACTAGACAAATCAGGAGACAAGAAACACATTTTTTTGGTTTTGGTTCAAACATGAGAAATATATTTTCTTTTTAAAATTATTTTTTGGGTGTGTTTTGCTTCCATGTATCTCTTTGCATAATGTGAAACTGTGTGCATGCCTAGTTCCCAAGGAGACCAGAAGAGGTGTCAGGTTCCTTGGAACTGGAGCTACAGGTATTTATAAGCATCCATGTAGATGCTGGGAATTGAACCTGGGTCCTGTAGAAGAACAGCCAGTGCTCTTAACCATGGAATCATCTCTCCAGCCCTGGTAAATACATTTTCAAAAAAGAAGTGGAAAGCCAAGCATGGCGCCACACACCTGTAACTCCAAGACTAGACAAGATGAGGCCGGTAGAGAGTTCAAGGTCATCATGACCTTATACAGTCAATTCCAGGCCAGCCTGGGCTATATGAAGTCTTGTCTCAACAAAACAAAACAGAGCAACCAAAATACAGAGAAGAAAATGGAAAGCGGAATTCTAAATTCTGAGAAAGCTCATTTCTATATATATGTGTGATTTGTAAGGTTTTATTATTTTTTATTAATTAATTAATTTTTCTCCAGCCTGATCACAGTTTCCCCTCCCTTTTATTCTTCAGCATGCATTAATTGTACAAAGTAACAAGGGGACTTCTGGCTTCACAGCACATCCACATTCAAAGATCTCAGTTGCCATGCCAACCCCAAATGGCTGGACCTATGTGTTGAGTGCTGTATTTTAGGGTGAATGTTGTTGCTTATAAAATGATGGTAGCACTACTGGGGGTGAGCTCAGTGGGGGAGCCTGCCCATCAATACAAGGCCTTGTAGTAGATCCCTCCTAACACAATCACACACAATTTCTCGCACACACGCACGTGCGTGCACACAGACACTAAAACAAAAGCTATTTATTTAAAACTTCAAAAGTATTGAAGAAAATAATATGTTTTAAAACTGTTACTGACTACTCTGCGTCTGGATGGTGGCAGCGGTCGTATGATCTTGTGAGTTTACTAAATGTTGCTATATAAACGGTGACATTTGGACTGTGTGTGTTTCGCTACAACCAAAAGCTTGATTGGGCCAGCGAGACCGTTAGTGAGTGAACAAGCCTGCCAAGCTGAGGTCCATTCCCGGGACAGCATGGAAGGAGAGGCCTGATTCCCAAAGTTGTATTCTGATCTCCACATGGTACCATGGAGCACATACACATTCGTGTATGTGCATGCACATAAACAAACAAATGAAAGTAATTTTAAAAAAGTGATAATATAGGCTATTTAAGGGGCCATGACCATAGTTTTCTTTGATCCATGAGATACTACTTCAAGGTTTTTCTTTAAATGTATCCTTTTGTGTTGTGCTGTGTGGCCCTGTTTAAGTGTGTGTGACTGAGTATGTGAGTACTTGTGTGTGTGCACAGGTGTGTGGATGCTAGAGACAGAAGCCCACACGTAGTGTCTTCTTCACTTGCACTCAATTTTATTTTGGAAGACAGGTTTCTCACTCACCCTGGAACTCGAAGGTTCAGCTAGACTGGCTGGCTCGAAAACTCCCAGGAGCCTCCTGTCTCTGCTCCCCAGTGCTGAGGTTGCAGGCGCGCCCACAGGTGCTGGGAGAATACACTCAGGTCCTCGTGCTTATTTGTAAAGCAATAACTTTAAGGAGTGAACCTTTTCAGCAACCTTGAAGGTATTCATGATACACATTTCTAGATGCTTTTTTAAAAATTGCAAGGTTTCTTTTCAATCCTCTACTCCCCCCACCCACCCCAAAACATTTAAGATGTTCCCGAGTGTCTTTGTTTTTAACTCAGAGCCCAGAAAGAAAAATCTAACTGCGTCAAATGTTTTCAGGACATAGGAAAAACTATTCTCTAAAATTGCTCTTTATTTTTCACAATATTTTGGGTTCAGCTGCAGTAATGGGGCCTAGTCAAACAGGTGGCCAGACTGTGCAGTACCATGCGGTCATAGGCAATACCCTTTTTCTCCAGCTGAGTCAATTAAATGTGTTTATGTTAGCATACATTACCCATGTACAACAATGGCTTTCATTATGGGATTTTTCACACATGCACCCATAATATGTAATTTATTTTGATCATAAGTTGCCATAAATATTTTTGCTAACATATAATAATTATATAAAACAATAGAGTACGTGCTGAGGTGTTCACAGATGTAGCTAGCTAACGTACCTTGATCATATAGTTGTTGTTTTTTTTTTTTAAAAAAAAGACACACTCAAATTCTTGAAACATGTTCACTGCGTAGAAAAACATTTCCAGAACTTTTCTGAAGGCAGTTTTGAAAGACTTCTTGGCTACTTGCTTTTACAAAAAGTTCCTAACTACTTTCCTTTAGAAGCCCTGTTGTTGTTGTTGTTTGTGTGTTTGCTTTGACGTGGTGGTTTTTGCTGGTCATGGAGAGAGGCTAGGCATACCAAACTTCATTAGACACCTGTAGAAACAGTGAGTATGTGAGAATTCTGTAATATGTGTGGCTCACCTGGGGGCCTACCTCTCTGTGGCCACAGGCATCTCTTATAATTGTTTGGTTTTCATAACCTGCCTTTTTACAGACTCATAGAGACTTTTCCCTTTACCTGCTCCATGCAGCACAAGTGGTGAGAGCCAAGAGCAGCAGGGTCCCGGCATGCTCAGAGGACAGAAAAAACTGTAGCCTTCTAGGCACCAAGGGCTCCTAGTCACTGAAATCAGGAAGAGGAAGGACCATGGCAATTACTGTGGTCATGTCAAGTGACAAATCTTCCAAGAACATTCTCAAGTCAGGATAGCACAGGCTTTTGGTCAGCCCATCTGTCTCGACGTGGAGAGTCCTCAGTCAATCTGTGTCTGACATGGGAAATGGAACCAGGATTTTAAGTAAGATAGTGGATATTTGTAGAATCATCCCTGTTCTTGGTTGTGCCAAATTCAGCCCAACTTCTGTTTCTAACCCGGCTCAGCAGCACAAGCATGCCATCCGCCAGCAGAGAATGTTTGCAGATGTCTGCGGGAAAATAGAGACAGGGCAGGGTACTGGGAACACCTGTGATGGGCTTCCCATGGTTAGTGGCTGTTAGCTGGGAGCGTGAGTTAGCTGTTGTGTCGGGTGTACAGGGGCTCCTTTCTGCCTAGGCCGTGGAATAATGGTGCTGCTCTTCTTCCAGCCTGCTCAGGCACCACCAACACGTCCCGGGCCTGCAGAGCCCCGTGTGGTCCCTTCTACTATCAAACCAACACCACCCTGTCTCCTTCCCTCTCACTGACATGGGTCCCTTCCTCTTTTCTTTCTGCCCCTAAGCAAAGCCCGAGAGGCCCTAAATACTCACGCTTCCTACCAGCTAAATGTTTGACCTTGGAAGCCAATAACAGGGCAGGGATGGGGGACATAGTGCCCCCAGTATGACTGCTGGGTAGATAGGGGGACTGGGTGCCATCTCCAAGGATAGAAGGGAAGCTGGCCATAGAGGCCCGTGGTAAATGTGGTCATCTTCCCAGAAGAGGGCCCAAGTTGAAATAAATCACTGTGTCATTCAGACAGGGCAAAGTTCATGTACCTTGGAATCACAATTCATTTTGTGTGTCACCCCTACCAGTGACAAGACTATATGACTTCCTCAACTTCCCAGACCAAATGTTCTAATCTCTATACATGGGGAACCACAATAGTATAAATACTCTTTACACCACTGCAGACATAAAAATGCTTAAGATTGTTTTTGTCACTAAAGAAGGTGAGTTAGTAACAGGTGCTACCCCAGGTGTGGTTGTGACACATGCAATACCTGGTGCATGCATTGTCCACAGCAAATGCCGAGGCTTACTTCCGTTCTGGTTCTTTCTCCAGGGCTCTCCGCTGGCCTGGGGTAGGCTGGTCTTTCAGAACTGTCTTGCTGGGTCTGTGCTTCAGTCAGTGTTCTGGACTGTGGCCCTGGAAGGAAGAGGCGCCTTGTTCCTATAGGATGGTGTATATCCCAGCCGAAGACCTGAGCCGGGTGGGAAAGATCAGGGAGAAGGTTTGGTCAAAAGAAGCAAAGCAGTTGTCCACTAAGCTAACCCTGGGGTTGTTACCATATCTCCCTAGAACTTAATTCTCTCCCTTGGAGCAAGATAAGGCTGGCCCAGATTATACCCAAGGTCTCTATCATATCTAAATTTCTATGACTTCACAGACAAAATGAGGAGAGCCTGGTTATCAAAGCGAGACCGTTGAAGCAGCACTTTCTGGGTCTCACTGTTTGCATCTATAAAACAGGATGGGGCAGCTCACTCAACCCAAGGAGGTTATTCTGGCTACCCGGCCCTGGAAGGAACTATCAAAATATCTTGCCAATTACATGACATTGTTCAGAAGGGAGCAACTGTGCTGAATTCGCAGACCTAAATATAACGCCAATGATGCCACAGGAAGGCCAAGCTGGAGGAGGAGGACATGGGGAAGTTGAGGCCAGACAAAGGGTATGGAGGAAGGAGGCTAGCCATCTGAGGGGAAAGAAGCTAGACATCAAGGGGAGAAAGAGGAAAGAGGCCTTTAGAGGATGTCTGTGGCAAATAACAGAACAATCAGTAGCATCTGCTTCAGAATGCTGGGTCAGGAGCCGGTGATGTCATGTTTAAGACAAGTTGTCCAAGAGGAAGATGTGTAGGACTTAGAGCAGGCTTGGCTTCTTTCTGTTTCTTTAGTCTAATTTTTCAGAGACCAGAAGAGTTGGGCAAGCGTGAAGAGGGGAGGGATTCATGTCCTGCCTTCTAGAGGACAGTTTTTGTCTTCAGTTTAACTCGGGAGCTCAAGCGTGGCTGGCTCCTTGAACTGTGGAATAAATAAGGCACAAATAGCAAATCATGACATCACACTTTAAGGAGTAGTCTGGAAAAATAAGTAAATCAAGGTAAAAAAAAATTGAACTAAATACAAAATAGAACATGAAGAACTAAATATTGGAAATTTAAATTTAAATGTGGGGCTGGGAAATGACTCGTCAGGTAAAACACGTGTGTGCAAGGGTAAAGACCAGAGTTCAAATCTCCAGAAACCATGTAAATTGCCTGTGGGCATTGAGACTCACCTGAGGTTCCAGACTTGGAGCAGCAACAGTATCCCCAGAGCAAACTAACTAGCCAAAGCAGCCATATGGATGAGCACTGCATATGAGGGACTCTCCTCAGTGAGCCGAGTGGAAGAGAGATGGAGGACGACTCCTTCCACATGCACCAGCGCACATGTGCACATGAATCACACACATGCATCCCAGGGGAGGGGGGGAGAGAAAAAGAAATTTTAAATGAAGACAGGACAGTGTTATTGTTAATTTTTTTTTTTGTCTCAACCTCCAAGATGGCACACTAAGAACAGCTTTATGCCGGAGGTATTTATGTATTTATGTATTTATTTATGTATGTATTTATTTATTTATTTTTGCCGCGACAGAACTAAACCCCATGGTCTTGTGTTTCCTATGCTCTACCACGGAGCTGCCTCCCCAGTCTTTGCTTTTCTGAGACATCGTCTCACTCTATGTCCCAGACCGACCCAGAACTGTGGTCCTCCTGCCTCGGTCTCCCTGGGGTTGGGGTTAGTAACTGCAATGCCACGCTAGGTGGGCAGCAATGTCCGCTATGAAAGCTGTCAGCCTGAATTTCCAGAGGGGAAGCTCACGCCATTCCTGCGTCTTCAGTTTGTTCACCATTCCGGAAGCAGACTCAGCAGAGATGGTCTCACTGAGCTCCCGGCCACTAGTGTCCCCCACCCACACAGTCTCCATTCTCCCCACTCAATCTCTGCACACCCCAGGACCCGACCCTGAGTACTTCCGGCTGTCTGGGACTACTAAGGCGTTGGCACCCGCCCTTCCCTTAGCTGGCAGGCCTCACTTTTGACAGCAAGCCTCTCACAGTAGCCTTATCCCTTGCCACGCCGAGCTTCCCACCAAGCCCCAAAGGTCCCAGATGATCCTACTTCTGAGCCTTTGTACTTCCTGTTCCTCTCCCACGCCTGGCATTTCCCGGTCTGTACACGTGACGGGCGATGTTGACACAGAGAACTCAGAAGCTTCAAGCCCGAAGATCCAAGGACACCAGATTTCAAGCTCCATTTTCCTCCTTTCCTATGGTTTCCTGGAGATTTAGTTTTTTTCTAAATTAAATACAGACTACAATTTAATTAAGAAGGTAAAAAAGTGGGCTGCGGTTATAGCTCCATTAGCCAAGCACACACCTGGCATGAGTGAGGCCCTGAGTTCAATCCCTGGCACTGAAAAATGGGAAGTCCTCTTTAAGGAATCTGGAGTCAAAAGTATTAAACCATGGAAACTCTCCAAAGGGGTTGGAGGGGGCTGTTTCAAAACATAGAAACCAAGGTCAGAAACATGGTTCAGCAGGTAAATTTACTTGCTATCAAGCCTGTTCCTGGGACCCAAAAGGTGGAAGGAAAGAACAGACACATCAAAAATCAAATAGACCTATGGATGGTCGTTAAAATAATTCTAATTTAAAATAGAAGTTTAAAATAGAAGCAGTTTTAAAGATACATTTGTAGTAAGAAGCAGTAAAGAGATTGAGTGTATTCTTTAGACACACAAAAAAAAAAAAGAGAAAGAGACAGAGACAGAGAGAGACAAAGAGACAGAGAGAGACAGAGAAAAAGAGAGAGACAGAGAAAGAGAGTGGGGGCAATGAGGATAACAGAGAAAATATTATTCCAAATTAATCTTAGAAACAAGTGGCTGGAGACACCACACCACCCATTTGTATGAGCAGAGAAGTCCTCGAGGTGCCTGAGATGACAGGCTTCTACAGGAGATCGGGGTGCGCTCCAACAGTGATCAGCCAAGGTGAAAATGTTGAGCTAGGTTTGGTGGAGACCAGGGAACTACTGCAAACCCATGAGAAAGGGAATAGCAAGTTGAAGTTTGAGACTCAGAAACAGGAGCACTGAAGGCTGTCACAGCACAGAGTGGAGGGCCTCCCAGGCTGGTACAGCCTTTTCCAGGTAGGAAGCGGGAGCGGCAGGCTTGGACCTAGATCAGCTCAGGAGGCAAGGCTAAACTTACAGCTCCTGAAGCATGAAATACAAGAACTGGATCCAAGGCTGAGACTGATGAAAGGGGAGAATATACTGGCTATTCGCAGGGTTTGCTTTCCTTTGAGACTCTGCTAATCCAAGACCAGCCCACAAAGGGATTTTCTCTGATCTGGTTGCTTTGCATTTGGTCTTTTCTGGGAAGAGAAGTTGGGGAAATGCCTAGATGCTATGTCCCCTTTTCACAGCCCAGTGAGTGCAGAGGGAGCTGAAAGAAAAACCAAGATACTTCACACATTATACACACATACACACAAACACGCACAAACACACATATACATAAACACGCACTAATACATACACACACAAAAATGCACAACAAACACATACAAACATAGGCACAAACACGCACACGCAAACACACACATACATACCTTTAAGTTATTTTGACTAGGCTTTTGAAAATATGTTGTGGCAGGTACAACCATTTTCGAACCATTTAATAAAACACAACGGGGCATGAATCTTGTCAAATGAGAGCTTTCTTGGACACCTGCTTAGTGGCTGGTCACACCACAGTATGGCTGCTTTCCCCAAGACCTCTCACCTTGGTGCTTCATAAACCATCCTTCCAGAATTTGTCCCACCCTTGAATACCTAAGGATGTTCTGAAGATCAGCTGTGGGGCCCTCCCTGGTGTGTTCTCACAGACCAGATCACCAGGGCTCGGGGGATTGGGGTACACAAAACTCTCCCACCCTGATAATGCTGTCTGAGGGTCTCAGCCTCAGACACACACTGGAAACACTTGAGGGCTCATGACTCTGGGTTCCGTAGTCTGGAGTGAGGCCTAGGAAAAGCAAAGCAAAACAAAACAAAACAAAAAAACAACCTCTGGGTGATTCTACCACCAGACCTAATTAAGGCCACTTCTTTAGTTAGCCTGTCTTCTGAGGAGAAGTTATAATGAGATTGATTGCCCACATGCTCATTGGAAGACAAGATGATGTGGGATAGCGATGTGTCTGTGGTTTGGGGGGTTGGCATTGTTGCTGTGCTACCTAGCAGGTGTGAACTATCTCTGCCGGTGTGCTATGCTGAGCCCAGGTGCAGGCACACCCAGCAGGTGTGAACTATCTCTGCCGGTGTGCTGTGCTGAACCCAGGTACAGGGAGGGACACCCAGCAGGTAGGAACCAGCCCTGCTGGTGTATTTGTTGAGTAGAGGTAAAGGAAGAAGGCAGGCCACCGACAGCCACAGCTCTCGCATGCTGAAGGTAGATGGGATGGCGTGCTGTTGACTGAAACAGAAGGCTGGGCACTTTGTTTGTTGGGCCATGAGATATCACTTCACTCCAGTTAGAATAGCCACTAATCAAATAACATAGGATTTCAAGGGTGTGGAGGAATGGGAGCTCTTACACACACACGGTGGGAATATACTTTAGAAGTTAGTGTTATAGAAAGTAGTAGGGACATCCCCCTAAAACTAAAGAAATAGAACTGCTATATGATGATCCCACTACTTGAGGTGTGGAAGGAATGGAGTCGGTTACTCAAAGAGACGGCTATATCCCCATGGTTACTGCAGCTCCAGCCACGGGAGCAAAGAAATGAAAACAGCCAATGAATAGAAAAACAAAACATGAATACACATAAATGGTGAGATATTACTCAGTCGTTAAAAACATAATGAGAACAATGGCACTGGGTTTTGATCCTACTGCACGTACTGGCTTTGTGGGAGCCTAGGCAGTTTGGATGCTCACCTTACTAGACCTGGAAGGAGGTGGGAGGTCCTTGGACTCCCCACAGGACAGGGAACCCTGACTGCTCTTCGGGCTGATGAATGAGGGAGACTTGATTGGGAGAGGGGGA